GGAGGCGCTGGGCCCGATCGTGGGTGAGCCAGAGTGCTGGCAGCGCCAGGGAGAAAGCACGGAGAAGTCCACAGGTCCTGTGCACGGCGGAAATAGCGTGAAGCTTTACTCCAAAGCGACCCTTCCACCCAGCAGGCTAGAGCTGGAGAAGTCGTTCTGTTTGGTGCTCACTGAATGATTTTTTTTTTTTCCTGGCTCAGGCTGCCTTAAGGGCGGGTCTTAAAGGCAGGTGAAAGTGGGGATCAAATTCGGTATCCTGCGCCTGACTGCATTTGCATGAGCAGGCGCTTAAACAACTGAGCTAAAGAGCAGGCTCCCATGCGCACTGTATTTGAGCGGGCTTAATCAGGAGCGGTCACGGCTTATAGCCAGCCCCACCAGCCGTCCCCCAAAGCGTCAGGCAGTCGCAGGTGGGGCTGGATCCGAGTGTGATGTGGGACCAGAGGCGCGCTGTTACTAAAGCAGTCCACGGCTTGGTGCCCCAGCTGGTGTGAGTGCTACTCATCCCACGGACAGGTAGTCTGGCTGTGATATAAGGGACAGAAAGAGGGTCCCTGGCTGTCTCGTCACCTGAGCCTGCTGCCTTGCTGGCTTCTGCCCGCCACGAGCTGCTTCCTGTGTCATGACACCTGCCCTGGAGCCAGCCAGCTCTGGGCTGAGGCCTCTGCGAACTGTGAGCCAAATCAACCTTTCCTCCTTTAACTTGGGTGTTGGATATTTTGACCCAACAACAAGACAAGTACTAAGAAAGGGGTCATTTTGGCAGGGGTTTAATCATGTAAAGTGAACAATAGGACAAGGACAGAAAACCGTCAGGGTTTCCAGCGTTTCTCTGCCACGGTGACTGAGTGAAAGAGAGCCGCAGAAGGCAGGCGTGCAGAGGTGCAGACTGGACGCAGAACGCTTTCTCTGAGAAGTTTACGCTCGGGCTGGGGAGGACATGGGGCCCCATCCTCAAGAGTGAAAAGCTGCGCCCAGGGTGTGTGGCTTTCGAAGGCGGCTGGACCTGAAAAGTTGTTTTTTTTTTTTTTTTGAAAAGTTGGTGTTGAGTCCAGCCATCTGCTCAAATCCAGAGATCAGTGGTCTGATTACTTTTCCTCTGTCCCATATGAAAGGACATTCTTTGGCTAGAATAATTGCGACAGTCTGGGGCACATGGGCAGAGTGGCCTCCAGAGTCCGGGTTGGGGTCCCTGACTCATCACAAACCACAGGCCCCAAAGCGTCGCTGGACCCCAGGACTGCAGAGCTGAAAGGAAATCACTTATTCAGAAATACAGAAAAGTTTTTGAACTAATTGTTTTTCTTCACTGGACTTTGGGTTTTACTTCCCTTTTGTCTTTCTCCCACACCCAGCTTTTTTTTTTTTTTTTTTTTTTTTTCCAGAACTGGGAATTGAACTCAGGCCCTTGCGCTTGCCAGGCAAGCACTTATTCTACTGAGCCATCTCCCCAGCCCCTCCATCCCCAGCTCTGTTTTGCTCTATTTTTCTTTTTATTCCTTTTCTGTTATTTTACCTAGTTCTATTGATTCCCTTTCACTCCTTAATAGACCCTCTATCTAATTTTTCTCTCCTCTTTCCCTTCTTCCATTGCTTAATTTTTAAAATTTTGCTTTTCCCACCCTTTTCTTCTTGCCCCTTCAGTCTTTACTAGTGTAACAATTACACTTTTTTTTTTTTTTATGTATTTAGTAGAGGGTCTACAGGGTCTAACTACACAGATCAGACTTGGAGTGAGCCTCCTGTTTTTAGCCTCCCAAGCGTTGGGATTACAGGCAAGCACCACCACGCCCAGTCTCAGTTGCTGTCTCAGTGCCCCAGGGGTGGGGCCAGCATGGCACTCTGGGGATTGAACCCTGGCCCCGTGTCTGCCTAAGCAGGCGCTTTAGTCCACTGAGCTATCTGGCTGGCCCATGCTTTATTAATGCTATGCTGTTACTGCTGAATTCTTTGTTAGCAGTGGTATAGTTATACTTAGGAGATATTTACTGCATATCTATTTCATTTAACTTAGTTTTTACACTATAAATATAGATCTTTTCTATGGTAAAAAGTAGCATGTTTTGTTTCTTTTTTTTAAGGATTAAAAAAACCTTTTATTTATTCATTTGGTACAGGGTCTCACTATGGGGTTCAGATGGTAGTGAGCCTCTTGTCTCAGCCTCCCAGTGCTGGGATTACAGTTGTGTGCCATCATGCCCCTTCAGGGCTGGCATGGCATGCAGTACTGGGGATTGAACTTGGGATCTTGAGCTTGCCAGGCAGGCACTTAGACCACCAAGCTTCTCCCCAGCCCTATGTTTCGCTTCTTTCTTTCTTCCTTTTTTTTTTTTTTTTTTGGAGGAACCGGGGATTGAACTCAGGCCCTTGCGCTGGCCAGGCAAGCACTTATTCCACTGAGCCATCTCCCTAGCCCCTATATTTTGTTTCTTAAAGCATATCAATATTCAGTTTTCTGGAGATGGTGATATAGGTGCCTGCCTGGAAAGTACGAAGTCCTAAGTTTGATCCCCAGTACTGTAAACAACAACAGCAACAAAAATCCAGTTTTTCTTTGATGCTGTTTTTGTTGCTGCTGCCAGAGTAAAGTAATTGTTGCTATGGACTGGGATTCTCCAGTGTCTGGATTGCCTTTTGTTCATTCCCAGAAGACCATGTGCAGGGTCAGCTGCACCCTTCCCTCTAAAATTAATGGACAGGGTCAGAGCTTAGGATCCAGACAAAGACCTACAATTAGTCGTGCCGGGATTGTTACTTAAAATCAGATAGTAACTAAAGGGGTCTCCATAGTGCTGCGGCAACAAAGTCTTCTCCACTATAACCCACACATAAATATCAGCACACACACACACACACACACACACACACACTCCCACACACTCCCACACACTCCCACACACGGACACACTCCTCCTTCAGAAACTATCAAGCCCCTCAAAGGCCATCCGTGGGGCATGCAGAGAAAGGAAATTAGTCATATAGCTGAAGCATTTAAAATTATTGAAGAGATTTAAAAAAATTAATAAGCTGCTTGGTCAAACCAAAGAAGATAAAACTAAACAGATAAAGGACTTAATGAACAAAGTGATCAATCAGTTTATAGAAGACACTAATAAAAATCTAGTTGAGACAAAATCATATAAATGACCAGTTTGCAAGTAGCTAGAGTCCATGAAATGGTACCAAGAAGAAATGCAGAGTAAAAATTTTAATGAAAGCATGAGCAGAAAATTGATTAACTGAGATGATGTCAATATACCTTAAAAATAAGAGATCACAGAACAACAGCTGCCAGAGAAAAAATAAGACCAGTGTGAGATTACTGGAATTAGTAAAAACTCAAAAGACATCATAAATGGCATCAAAATCCTGCTTATACAAATAGGAGCAGCAAACTTTCCAATTATGGGGCAGAAATTTAACATACCGATAAGTGAGGCATATAGAACCCCAAATAGCCATGATCGGAAATAACAACTTTTCAGGTGGATGTGGTGGTGAATACTCGTAACCTCAGCATTCAACAGGCTGAGGCAGGAAGATCTCTGTGAGTTTGATTTTTTTTTTTTTTTTTGGTGGATATGGGGATTGAACTCAGGCCCTTGCATGTGCCGGGAAAGCACTTATTCTACTGAGCTATCTTCCCGGCCCCCTGTGAGTTTGAGATGAGCAAAGACAACTAATTAGAATTATAGCAAACTTCTCAACACAAGCCTTACTAGGTCAGGGGATCTTGGAGGGATGTGTTTTAAGCCCTAAAAGAAACAACTTTTACAATAGACTGATATATCCTGCAAAACCATCTTTACAAATTGATAGAGAAATAAGATATTTAATAAA